ACAGGAAATGGCGCATCCCGGCAGGGAGCTGAGTCAGGAACAAGCAGGCAGGCCTACCTCACACTCAGCAAGACCATCATTCTCAGATGTGGGTCTGTAATTTGTTTAACTGTGAATGAGTTGAAGTCTCAGAACTGTGACCAAGAATACGAGTGGTAGAGGGAATGGCCCACGCGTTAGGCCTGCTCACATCTGCTCAGAGAAACAGTGACCATCTGGGCTGTTCAGTGGAGAAGACAGGTGCGGGTCTGACTGCAGGCCTGAGGCTCGAAGCTGTGTCTGTGATGAAATCTCCAAAAGGAGGTTTGCTGTTTCTCCATGGCCACGCCTATGCTTGGAATCCCAGTGTCAGGGAGACTGGGTTCCAGCAATCTGGCCCACTGTGGTGAAGAGAAGTACCCAAAGCAGAGGTTTCCCAGGTCTGTTGCTGGGGCGAGCTCTAAATCCACAGAAATGAGCCTTTATAGACAGGCTCCAATTAGGACTTTAGGCCAATACTGAATCTCGCTAACACTTGCATGCAAGCGTCATCACCTGTGTGAAGAGGCCTATCTTAAGTATTCGTTCTGCTGCCAAGGAATGGGCTTGGTACCCCAAGAAGTGCCCCCTTGTTTCCTAAAACCTCTCTCCTTTATCTGTTTAGGTACTGGAAGTACTTTTCTTCTGCAAACACAGTGAGCTTAAACGCTCTTGAAAGAGCCCATGTGTTCACCCAACTCACAGCGGTTGACAACATCATCTGTGTTTAGTGGCATGGGGCAGGCAAGGCCTGGAGATGGGTCCAGGTGTTGTGCAATTCTGCCCTGCCGTGCAGCGATCAGAGGCCTCCCTCCCGAGTTTCCTCTTGCACAACGTCCACTCTTCCGCCACTTGGTCCACTTTGTTCTTTCTCCAATACACTTACTTTAGAGTTGAACAAGTGTGAGTCTAGCCTCAGTCATCTGGTATTTAGAGCTTTTTCTCCGTTGGGTTGGGAGTCAGCAGTTTATTGGAGGATCATATCATTAAGACACCCTTCCATTCACAAGCTCCTGAGATGGAAAAGTTACAGCTGCATTCTGGTTGAAGAATATTCAATTTCACCCATCTTGAGAAAGTTCATTGTTAAAAAGCAACAAAAGTTTGTACATTAGTGCAATCATATATATCCAAAGTTTCTATCTCGGTTTCAGTGTTAGCCATAATGGACAGACAACAGATAAAATATTTTTGTTTTTTAATCTGGTCTGTGTGTTTCCCTTGCAAGTTTTGTTTGTTTTTATCCACTCCTGACATCCATCCACAAACTCCTTCCACGTGGATCCGTGAGCAGGTCCCAGAGTCAAGAGATCCGGGCCCACGTCCTGCCTCTGGTACACGCTAGCTTGTTCTGCAGAAAATCACCTGAGTTATCAGAATCCCAATTTCCCATCCATCACATGATACCTACCTGGCAAGGGGAGTGTGAAGATTAAATGAGATAATGTGGTCCAGGGGCCGGAAGAGAGAGGACATAGAAGAAAAAAGGCTTCAGAGAGATCCTTAGACTCAAACCGTGGCTCTGCCCATCTCTCCTAAACCTGGATCCCGAGGAAAGTCCCAGAACAGCTGAGTCCACTCCCATCTCCCAGCGGGTGTCTCCCCTTATCCCTGAAGCTCAAGTTCTCCCTCTAGACACAAGAAACTCTAGTGTCCACCTTACTTGGGTGGTGTTTTTTGGGTGCCTTTGAGTAAATCACTCAAGTGGGCCACTTTAAAAGGTACTCCACTTGGGGATGAGTATATTTAGTGTAACACTCAAGACATGAGGTTAAACCAAAGCTAAAAAGTTCAGGATACAAATTTTCATGAAGGGTCACTTTATAGACAGTGAATATGTGATAACATCACACATCAAAAGGCTGCAAATCAGAAAGGAATTTGATAATTATTTTATATAATTTTATAAATTCTGTAATGTACTTTTTTTTTGAGATGGAGTCTCGCTCTGTCATCCAGACTGGAGTGCAGTGGAGTGATCTTGGCTCACTGCAACCTCCACCTCCTGGGTTCAAGTGATTCTCCTGCCTCAGCCTCCTGAGTAGCTGGGATTACAGGTGCCTGCCACTATGCTTGGGTAATTTTTTTTGTTTTGTTTTGTTTTTTTTTTGAGACGGAGTCTCGCTCTGTCGCCCAGGCTGCAGTGCAGTGACTGGATCGCAGCTCACTGCAAGCTCCGCCTCCCGGGTTTACGCCATTCTCCTGCCTCAGCCTCCCGAGTAGCTGGGACTACAGGCGCCCGCCACCTCGCCCGGCTAGTTTTTCGTATTTTCAGTAGAGATGGGGTTTCACCGTGTTAGCCAGGATGGTCTCGATCTCCTGACCTCGTGATCCACCCGTCTCGGCCTCCCAAAGTGCTGGGATTACAGGCTTGAGCCACCGCGCCCGGCCTGCTTGGGTAATTTTTAAAAATTATTTGTAGTAGAGATGGGGTTTCACCATGTTGGCCAGGCTGGTCTCGAACTCCTGACCTCAGGTGATCCACCCGTCTCAGCCTCCCAAAGTGCTGGGATTACAGGTATGAGCCACTGCATCTGGTCTGAATTCTGTAATATATTATTAAAAACCATATGAAATGAGATTGCATGTGTACAGATGTTAATCTTAAACCCAAAGTAAATGAAGAATGCTGTCTTTTAATTGAAAATTCACACATGACCTTGAACACCAAACAGAAACTTACTGTAACTGAGAAAAATGAGAGAAAATGTGAGGGACAATTGGATATGCAGTCACTATTTAATATCCCCAGGAATGCCTTTCATAGCTACTGACAGAGGGACCCCAAGTTTGCAATGCTATACAGTACTGACAGATTTCAGAGAGGAATTTGCACCATCCGCCCCTCCGAGGTGCTGGGCAGAGCAGATGCTGTGTATTACCTGAGAAGCTAAGGCCGAGAAGTTCGCACTGCTGCAAATCCTCACTCTTGGTTCTACTGGGTCCCGTGTCACCCACCAGCGTCTCCAGGAAGGCCAGCAAGTCTCAGGGAACCATTTGCCCTCAAGGCTAAGGAGGTATGCCCCTTGCTATCCCCCAATTTTGTATACAACTGCATTTGAAATCAGACCTCACAATTTTTTTTTTTTAAAAGGCTGGAAGTCAATAAACAAACTTGTTGTGACAAACCTACATGCATACAAAAATAAATAAATTAATTAAAAAACCCCAACATATTTGGTAAGTACACAGGGAGGAGAAATGATATGCACGCTAAGTTGAAAAACTTTTAAAAAACAGTGAAAAGAGTACACTAATACGCTTTAAAATGCAACAAAAACGATACTGAATGTGACGTTTCTTAAATTCTATTCTTTTCCCCCTTTCATTTAGTGTTTCTTGAGTGCTTTGAAAGAAGATACCCACCAGGCCAAGCTCCACTGGTACCTTTTTTTTTTTTTTTTTTTTTTGAGACGGAGTCTCACGCTGTTGCCCAGGCTGGAGTGCAGTGGCGCGATCTCGGCTCACTGCAAGCTCCGCCTCCTGGGTTCACGCCATTCTCCTGCCTCAGCCTCCTGAGTAGCTAGGACTACAGGCGCCCGCCACCGTGCCCGGCTAATTTTTTGTATTTTTAGTAGAGACGGGGTTTCACTGTGGTCTCGATCTCCTGACCTTGTGATCCGCCCGCCTCGGCCTCCCAAAGTGCTGGGATTACAGGCTTGAGCCACCGCGCCCGGCCTCCATTGGTATCTTAACAGACAACAATTTCCCCTTGAGAAATGGAAAAAAAAAAAAAAAAAAAAAAATTAAAAAATGGCTCTTTAACAAGCCATAGTGAAAATGTAGATTTGTTTTCCAGATTTCTTTCTTTTTCTTTTTTTTTTTTCCTGGCTGAGAGCAGGGCTTTCAGCAGCAAGACAGGAGTAATTGTGAAAGAAAGAAAAAAGAGGATGGCGATATAAATCAGCAAAGGTTAATGACCGGGATGTGAAGAGAGGGACTTGTTTACAGAAATAGCGTGCAATTTAAAATTTACAAGAGATTTAATGCCATGGCTTGGCAATCGCTAAAATCAACAGCCCAGAAAACAGTGACATTAAGAAAAATATTACAGTTATAATAATCCCCAAATAAGTCAATTAGTGTTAGGGCACGAGCTGGCGATTACTTGACCCATTTGGCTTGCACTTAAGTGAAAAAAAATTTCCCCCTATTATACCAAGATCGCTGGATTGTGACCTGCTTTGCATCGCACCTCCTATACCCCCGCCTCCCTTATGTGTGCATGGGCGGATGGTGGTGGCTTTCCCTTGCCTGGCATCAAAATAATTCTGACCCTTGACATTTGTAATCATAAAAAAAAAAGGCAATTTATAATTGTGTTGTTCAAATGAAGGTGGGGGAAAAATTCAATCTGCTATTATACAAAAGCAATGACGGCTGTCTTCGGTGAAAAAAGCAACGCAAGTCAATTTGTGAACTTTGGCACCAAACGACCTTTAGAAACACAACAAAATACTGAATTTACAAGCAATAGCAGCCCATGCAAATGGCCCGGGCCTGCTTGCCTGTGGATTAGAGCTGCAGAGAGCATTATGGAGAATGCTTCCACAAAACAAATTAAGACTGTTACTTAAATGTCACGGCACACTATTGTATTTGGCTACAGATCATTACACCTGATACTAACACTTTTAAAAACTGTAATAACTTGGGAAATATTACACTGAGTGCCCACATGTATAAAGGAAAAGAAAAAAGAGGAGAAAATAGGTTTCTGAAGTAATTTAAACATCACTACTCTACGACTGAAGGGAAAGGTCAAAATTTAAGTAAGCTGAAAGGAACATGAATGGTAAAATAAAACACACAAACAAAAAGATGAAAAGACCACAGGAATGACTCTGCAAACACAATAAGGGAGCATGCGGCTGTGGGCAAATTGCATTTCCATGCCTGTGTTGAAAGGGAAGGGGCGGGCAGGGGATGAGGCGGGAAGAGGCAGGTGGAGGTGTGGGCAGGTGGAGGTGTGGAGGCGTTACCTTCGGTGTTGGTGCTGCTGCTGTATATATTTCGCAGGCTACCAACACGGTTTAGTTTCCATGCTTTGCGTTTGGCTGCATCCCGAGAGCAGAAAGGGGAGAGGGGAAAAAGAGAGAAAACAAAAAGGAAAAGAAAACAAATGAAAAGGGGAGAAAAAAAAAGGTCAAAGCAGCACACGACGTTGCCTCAGAGCTGTCTGCGCGAAGCGGGTGGGTGCCATGGAGCTCCCTGGCCCGAGCCCTCCAACTCCCCCACAGTCAACAGAGGAACTCGGGAAGGCCGGGGGTGGACCAGGGTCATCAGGTTCGCATCTCACATCAAAGAAGTACCCACGCGCAGCAGTCTACTTCGCCCTGCTGGGTTTCACACGTGGCCGCTCAAAACAGCACAAGAACTGGCCTCTGCCTTGAGAAATGATGGCGCCATTTGAAGCAGCTATGATGCCAGTCACCATAAGCCCTTTGATTCAGCCAAATATTAGCAGCATGTCAAATCAAGAGACCCTGGTTAGGAGCGGTTCATGCCTATGTGTTGCAGAAGGTAGGTTTTAAAACCAAGAGCTGTTAAAAGTGAAGTTGTCTTCCCCAGACAGATTTTTGATCCAGGCACTATCTACAGCAGCAAAACCCTAGTGCCATTTTGCTGTCTTGAAAGGAGGAGTCCATTCTCTTTGACACTTGGGGGAGTTTCAGGCTCTAAATGGAGCTCCTGGGAACCAGAAGAGCAAATGCCACCTCAGGTTCTCAGAAGGAAGGACAAAACGCCAAGTCACCGACAGCAGGACGCTGGGTTACGAAGAGAAGCAATTTAACAAGGGCGCAGCAGGCCCACCACTCAGGCTGTGTGCAGTCCCTGGCTGGATCACTGAGATGGGACCCCCACCCTCCAGGGACACATTCTCCACTCCACCAGGCCCCCACCCTCCCAACCATCAACTCAGAAATGCTGACATCTGTGGCAGGGAAGACGTCGACTTGAGACGTTCTCTCTCCCTTCAGGAGATATGTTATAAAAACCCAAGAGTTAAACAGCGTGGCTCAAGTCTTCAGGCAAATGTAGGGAAAGGCACAGCCCCAGGTCACAGGGCTGGAGGGCTCGGCCTACTGTGCAGGCAGGTACGACCGAATGCTTAGTGGCGGTCACTGCCATTCACCTTCTGAAGAAGGGGTCTCACAGGACTGTCTGTCTCTCTCAACTTCCACAGGCTGGAAGAGAAACCAGTGCACGCTCCCACAGGGCTGTGTGTGGCCATTTGTGTAATGCAGGTGAGCAGTGCTTATCTGGGACAGGCAGGCCTTTACATTTCCAGAGGCAGGTCTTAGGCCCACAAAGCAGGCAGCCAGGCTGACCCTTTGGTTCCCAAGGCATGAGTTGGCCAACGGTCAGCTCCCTAATCAACCCCAACGCGTTCCTGACTTATGACAGGTTAACTCTTCTTGCCTGCTGTAGTGTTTGAGCCAAAATTCTCAATTTCAAACAGTACAGTTTAGGCTGTGGTTGTAGGTTCTGCGTGTGCACCAAGTTCTGGTGGCCACAAAATGACCCAGCGTGATGCCTAGGCCCCTGTGATGAGTTATGTTGCAGAAATGAATCTCAAGTGCTTCTAACGACACTGGATTTCTTTGTAGAGACAACACAAAACATACGCGAGACACCTGAACCTCTAAGGAAGTAAATAAAATTCTGCGATAAAGCACTGTATACTTAGGATGCAAATTTTACGTCACTCACAAGTAAAAACTAGCTGTGATTTAGTTGCCTCTTGATTTAAAGTGATATTAACTTGTTATAACTAAACACATCTAACAATTCCTTTGCAGCATGAAAATCAACAAATAAGCCAGGTCCTCACGCCTGTAATCCCAGCACTTTGGGAGGCTGAGGTGGGTGGATCACTTGAGGACAGAAGTTCGAGACCAGCCTGGCCAACATGGCAAAACACTGTCTCTACTAAAAATACAAAAATTAGCCAGGCGTGGTAGGGCACGCCTACAATCCCAGCTAGTCTGGAGGGAGAGGTTGCAGTGAGCTGAGATTGCACCACGGTACTCCAGCCTGGGCGACAGTGAGAGACTCCGTCTCAAAAAAAAAAAAAATCAACCAATAATTTAGTAAGAAACAACCTCTAAACTAGCAGGCACCTGCAGTTTTACAGGATATGGGTCTACATTTAATTTTTCACAAGTGAAGTCTTCCTTATGTCTGTATCTTCAGGTTTCTTCACTATCTATGAGGTCCTACCTAAGTATCTGTCTCAGGTAGTTCCAAACCTGGGAAAAGGATCTTCCGAACCCACGGGTACAAATACCTTGCATGAGGAACGAAGGAAACCAAACCCGTCACAGCTCTCAAATGTGTGCTTTAGAAATGCTTGATGGATATGTACCAGGGGCCCCAGGCATAATGATGCAGAATTAGGCACGGGCTTAATTTTTAACTGCTGCAGCTCTGGTGTCTGGGACAGTATTTCACAAGTTCCAGAAAGAAGTAGCCATGAGGAGGCTGCACTCCTCAGAGTACAACTTACTTCTTTCTGCAACATTTACATAGAAATAGGCAGAATGGAGGCTGGGCACCCCTCGGGAGGGGAGGGATGCTGGGGTGCAGGAAGCCTCTTTCCTCGCCCGCTTTCTGCCTTGCATTTTTCACACTCCGCTTTCCCATTACCACAGGATGTATAAGCAGGAAGTGAACTTGCAGCCTGGCTTTCTATTAACCTATTGATGAAATAATCCATTTTAATGTGCAAAATGTCGTGCCTGTGTCTTCCTCTTAAACAAATGGACGTTTTCTGGCTGATACCAAGGTCCTGATACGTGCATCGGTCTCCGGGGACATTGATTGCTCTAAGTTCCCTTGTTTAGAAGCTTCTCAACGAGAAAATACAATCCTATCATCATCAAGAACACCTCGGGTTATGTCGGATGCTGTTGCCTGGAATCACGCCCAGGGGCTACGGAGGCACTGCACCAAATGGAACCAGGAGGCTCCGAGCTGATGTTCGGTGCCACCTGGCCACTGCCCACCACTGGCAGCCTCCCTCTGGTCTCAGGCCTTTGGAATAAAAGGTGAATCTCGGGGACTTCAGGGGCACTAGCTATAGACTAAACTTTCCAGGTCTTTATTTTAATTAAAATCAAATAAAAGTGTTAGTCAAATTCCTGTTTTATTTTCATGAATACAGTTTCTTCCTCTTAAACACAGGCTAACTTATTTTGATTTTGTTACTAATGTTATTTCTCACAAAACCTATTATTCTGATATCAAAATTTCACCTATTATTGACTAAAAAGGCAGCAGGGTGTGGGCATTCTGTTAGTGTTTTCCACTCTGCTATTTTGCTTGCTGCACAGGCGAAAGTCTCTTCCGTAAACAGAGTTTCACAATGCCTCCCATAGCCATGTACGCGGCGGGATGGCTCAGCACTCTCTCACATGTTTAAAAACACACATGCAAATCTCAATGGACATGAAATCCCACCGGTATAATTTCAGATGTGGTACAAACTGATTGTCAGCTCCAGTGCAGACAGCGAGATTGATCTCTTCTCACTTTAGTCTGCAAATTAAATGGAACTTTCTGAGCTCTAATCTGGGTACACGGAACAGTCAGTGGGCCTGGGGAGAGAATGCCACTCGTGGGAGGACAGCACTGTCCCCACAATGGTGCCAAAACGTGAACCGTGAACTCAGGTGAAACACAAGAGTGCTACATGTGGGTATCACAGCAAGAGGTACAACAAGAGAATCACCGCTGACTGCTGGGAATTTAAAACACACGTGGAAAACGCATCATCATACTGGCTGGAAGATATTTTCTAAGGATTAAAAGGATCAAAACTTCGAAAAACTCACGTTAAGACAACGCAGGGAGACTCACTCCTAAACTCTAAGATAAAATGTTTACCCTTATCATAACAATGGTATTAATTTTCCTGCAAACACACACAGAGCCCTCCTGTTGAGGAACACCGAAGGCGTTAGTAAACTGAATTCATAAGGCAGTCTTTGAATTACAAAGAGAGATCACTGTGGCACCTTCTGGTACCACAATCCTAACGTGGACAAAGTGTGCTTTATGTCTACACTGGCTATGTATGTATTTTCTACGTCTTCAGGTTGGCAGATGGGATGGGTGTCACTCCACTCGTGAGGGTCTCACATGGTGCACACCAGAGTGATGCATTTAAAGAAGAAAGCCTAGGCCGGGCGCGGTGGCTCAAGCCTGTAATCCCAGCACTTTGGGAGGCCGAGACGGGCGGATCACGAGGTCAGGAGATCGAGACCATCCTGGCTAACACGGTGAAACCCCGTCTCTACTAAAAAAAATACAAAAAACTAGCCGGGCGAGGTGGCGGGCGCCTGTAGTCCCAGCTACTCGGGAGGCTGAGACAGGAGAATGGTGCAAACCCGGGAGGCGGAGCTTGCAGTGAGCCGAGATCCGGCCACTGCACTCCAGCCCGGGCGACAGAGCCAGACTCCGTCTCAAAAAAAAATAAATAAATAAATAAATAAATAAAGAAGAAAGCCTGATGGAAACTTTAATTCACAGAACATTTCTTAAGGCATCTGATAGTTATAAACAACAGATCTTGTGTCTGGATGACCAAACGAGGCCTGGCATAATACATTCAACTCCTTGTAATTACTAACAGTCACAATCTTTTCAAAGAGACAGAAGGGGAAAGTGTACAGCTTACTACGTCTTTCTACGAAGTTAGAGTAGCTGGAATCATTTAGCGTTAACAGCTCCCAATTATTACACCTCTACTTATTTTTAGAAGCTACAGCTTTTCATCTGGGTTCCTGTGACATGAGGGACTTCAATTTTTATTCTGAAATAAAATTTGTTAATTTGTTTCTCTAAAAGTTTTTTTTTTTTTTTTTTTTTTAAACTAACACATGTGAATGCCTGAAAACTTATCACCTGAGACTCTTTTGACTGGCTCTGTATAAGCAGAATAAAAATATTCTTTAGTCTGCCGGCATGCTCAAACGAGCAGGGTTTTATTCTAAACTCTTCCTCCATCATTGTACCAGGAAACCACAGGCTTATTAATGTCACCTCTGGTCTC